TGTCTTCGGACAAACGGTGGCTCTATGGCTTGGAAACGGAGATGAGCACCGCCCCCTAGAGTCAGACACGACTGGACTACATGGCAAGAGTAACCTTTACCTTTATCTAAAGATTCAACAAAGGTTGACATATTATCCCAAAGGAAACATTGATATGCACCCATGGCTCCCTGGTAGTTACCGACACACATGGTGAACGCTGATGATGAATAAGGCCATCTTCCCATTGAGTCAATCCTTCTACTGTCTTTATTTGGTGGCATGAGGGTTTGTCAATGTTGAGATCTGGATTGTGAGGCTTCGACAAAAACAGAGTTTGGTGCTGGTTGTTTTTGAAGAAATAGAGCTCCAGGATCATGGACTCTGTAGAGGTTATCAATTCGTTTAGCCATGGTATGGGAAGAGGCTGGTTTTGTCCAGGATCATTTTGCTGAGCTGAGTAGAGCCGGAAGCATTGAGATGTGTACTGGAGTAGATGCATCTTTAGAGATTGGGTCATATAGATGATCAGCCGGTTCTGTCGAAGAACGATGGATTTGGAGACGACTTAGCCAGAAGTCTTCTGCCGGTGATGGTGGGTTGGCATCGACAAGGTCAGATTTCAGTGAGCTAAGTAATACTGACAGCGTCTGAGGTCTGGATCCGTGATCAGAATAATCAGGATTGCATCGGGAGTCAATAGATTGTCGATCAACTTCGGTGTCGATAGGAGTATTAACAATTTGTGGCTCTATGTCGATAGAGGCGGGTGGGTTGGCATCGACAAGGTCAGATTTCAGTGAGCTAAGTAATACTGACAGCGTCTGAGGTCTGGATCCGTGATCAGAATAATCAGGATTGCATCGGGAGTCAATAGATTGTCGATCAACTTCGGTGTCGATAGGAGTATTAACAATTTGTGGCTCTATGTCGATAGAGGCGGCATGTCCATGGGCATTTGCCAGTATCAAGTATTTTTTATATCGAGAGATGTCATTCGAGTGTCAATGGACGTTATCTGATATGGTTGAATGTTGGTGTCAAACTTGGGCATAGTGATGGCAAGTTCAATGGCTCGGTTCTATCGGGCAACGGAAATCATGCGATGATAAAGGGACAGAACGTGTTCCTGGACCAAGATATATATCAAGGATCATCGATATCAGAGCCTATGTCTTGGTGATGTCAAAACAGAGGTTGTTGACGAGCTGGTAAAGCAGCGGAGTATATAGACGCTGGAGATGCCGAGCAAGAGGAGTATTTCCCTTATCTGGATTAGCAAGAAAATATTGGGAGGCTGGAGCTATAAAACCCTCACATGTAGAAGAAAATTGCTCAACTGTCCTGGGTCTTTTAGGTGCCAGGTAGGGAGCAGGTTGGAGTCCATGTGGGTCACGGTGATATGGCCGTTTCGATACTGATAACTGTCGAGATCGAGGCCTTCCATGAGAAGGTATGGCCAAGCTGGATAGAGGATCTGGCTGATTGGCGGCTGCAGTTTCTCCGGTCGAGCACTGGTCAGGCCAAATGGCAACCCGGTGAGAGTGCTGAACACAGATCATCATGCGTGGGCATGATGAAAAAGACGGCTCCAGGGACTGTTGGGGCTGACATCTCTGAGACGTTTGCGGTGGATGATAAGATGTTACTGAATAAGATATGGTCTCTAGTTGCTGTTCGGTGTCAACCCTGTCAGGTGAAGCAACTACGGAAGGGTTGCTCGAAAGAACAGAGTGTTGAGGAGTGGGAGGAAAAGATATTAATCAATTGATTCTGTCATCCCATTCCAGTAACTGGGAGCAGGGTTGATGGGAGGGGATTCCATCATCGTCAGAAGGCGAACTAATAGAGATTTATTCAGCAGTTTGTTGAGGCTGCTGAGAAATAACCAGCTTTAGATTTATGCTGTTTAGGTCTTTTAGGCGGAGAAGGCTCTGGAACCAAAGAGGCTTTGGTGGACATTTGACGTTTAGTGGAGGGCTTC